GACCCCCAAGCCAGTGTGACTGGGAACTGGATGGATGCAGAACCCCGGAGCCCACTCCTGGGACCCAAGCAGACGGGGGCAAAACCTTCCCAATGAGGAGACCCCATTTCTGGTTTTTTCCTCCATCTGAGGTCAGCTGTGCCCTCTTCCCTGTGTGAAGGCTGACCTTGGCTGTGAACCCGGCAGCAGATCCTGTTTTCCATAGTGAAGATGAGTGTGTGTTAAGCTACTCACACATTTTCCAGCCCCTGCCCCTGTGACAAAGGACATATATTTATGAAATAGCTGGTTGGGGGTAAATGGCTATATATACTTTTTTTTGTAGCCATGAAATATGTTGGCTTTTTTTTTTTTCCCGCTTTGAGATTCTCTGGCTGCTTGAAGGAACGAATCCCAACCTTCTCACTTCAACAGCATGAGCTAATTAGAAAAATAACTAGCGTGAATGTTCTTTTACCCTTAAGAGAAAAAGGAAGAGTAAGTCATATTTTAATTAGATATTTGTCATGGCGGCAAGGCGCTCTTCAAGAGAAGTTTTAAGAAACTGGCCCTCCTTCTAAGGCATAACTGTTCAAATTATCCTAAAAAGAGGCTGTATATCAGTCCGATCCAGTTTGTGATAAATTTACAACTGGGTTCTGCACAGCAGATTTATATCAACAATTAAGCAGAAAGAAAATGGGTCATAAATTTTGGTTGGCGAAGTCCGGCACCAAAGGGAAAAAAAAGAGAATGGTTTAGCCAGATCAGAAGTCAATAATTTCAATATAAAGTGCTAGAGCTGTAGCAAAAACAATTTAAGTGGAAAGAAGTCGTTTGTCTCTTCTACCCTTTTTGAAATTATAATTGGGATTATATATATATATTTTAGATATAATGAAGTATCCAAACAACAGAGGCTTTATCAGAAAATTGGTGTATGTTTTCGACTTTACAAATGGTGTAAATCTTTGCTGCTCCTCCACTATTGAATTTAATGACCGTGCCTCCTCTTGAGTGTGACAAAGACAACAAGGGGACTTCTTCAAGAGCTTGAGTGACTGCACACAGGAAGTGCCGTGGTCTGACTGCGTCCCCAGACCGCAGATGTTGGAAATCTGATTCCCCAGGTTACATTTCCATGGTGCTTGCAGGTAGGGCCCTTCTTTGGATGGAGGAGCACTGGGCTGCGACTCAGACCTTGAGCCTTGAGCTCAGTCTGGACCAGGCTGGTTTGGACTTTTTAATTAATGTCTATGAAGATCCCTTGAGATATAGCTAAGTTATCAGGGAAAGGAAAGGCGACTTCTGAGAGCGTGTTTAAAGGAAATAATGGAAGGGGCGGTGGAGGAAACTGAGGTTTGGACCTCAGTTCGTTCACCCTGCTCACAATCCTGGTTCTGCAGCTGCCTTGAACTGACCATGGAGACCCTCCCTGGGAATGACGGTGCACCCCGTGGAAAGCAGAGCCAAGGGAGAGGGAAGCCAGCAGCTGGTGGACAGGCTGAGCTCCAAGTCCAGCTGCTCCTGAAGGTAGTCTGTCCCTCACAGTTGCCAGTTCCTTAAGTCTGTGAAAACAAGCTGGGTCTTGTTTTCTGCACTGTCTGTAGAAGCAGTCCTAATGGGTACGGTGTACCAATCCATTCCTTCTCTGGGGAAGGATGCAGCCCTCAGCAGATGTCCAAAGGGCACCGCCGGAGGAGGAAATGGCTCAGGCAGGAGAAGCTCTGGAGATCCCACCCAGCGACCTCACTGACAAACACAGGGACAGGAGAAGGGGCAGTGGACCTTCTCCCGGATGTCACAGAACAGCTGCACCAGGTCAGCAGGCTGCACAGGGAGGATTTGGAATCCCGAAGCTGGCATTAACTGGCACTCAAGAAAGATTCGTTGAATGGAAACCAGCAGGAAAATTATAACAAGTCACACTTTACATGCAAATTTTCCAGAGCGTTTTCAGGAAAATATTGAATGTGTGAACATCTAATCTGCATTTCCATCTTCTGACAGATGGCCCAGATGAACAGAGCTTTGATTATAGTAAAAAAATAAATAAGTAAATAAATAAATAAGAGAGAAAGAAAAGAAAACCTACAAATACTCACTGAGTGGTTACTGCGAGCGAGGCTGAATGAAGCAACGTGATGGTGTCTATCAAATTTATGTTTCTAAAAAGACAACCTCACAGCATTCCTATTTGCAAAGACCACCAAAATGTTACCCTGGCAGAGAGAATGGACGTGCGTGGATGGGGCAGAGAACCAGGTTCTCAGAGGAGGAGTCTGGCCCCGAGCAGGGACCACCTGCTTCAGAATCACGGGTGATCTTTATTGAGATGCAGGTTCCTGGGCCCCAGCTCAGACTCGTGCAATCGGAACCTCTGAAAGGAGGGCCCGGGAATCTTCGTCTTAACAATCTTTCTAAATGGTTTATGTGCATTGAAGTTTGAAAGCCCTTTCTTGCTACAATTGGTTTATATGCTTATGGGGTCTCCTCAGTGCCTTGGGACCCAAGACATGGCCCCTCAGGGAAGAAGCTGCAGTCCTAGGCTGGGAGACTGCAGGAAGCCAGGGTGTGGTGAGCCAGTGCTGCCTTCCCTGAGCTCAGAGCCAGGTCAGTCCCACCGGAGGAGAGGGGCTATGAGCATAGAGTAATTAACACACCCTAACATGACCATGTGAGGGGCCAGGTGGCACCTCTGGGGTTCTGCACCTCTCTAAACGATGCGACATTCTGGACTTGAAGGAAATGTTGTCTAATAACCATAACTTATTGTTTCTCAATTGACTATTAAATAGCCTCATGGTGAAAGTCACGGCTTCTACCTCTTGGAGCTTTTGCCAGCCTCCACTCTCCCAGTCCACCATGTCTGCCAGGTGCCAGGTGCCAAGGCACTTGTTAGATGCTTTGGGGATTCTCTTTTCTTTTCATTTGGCAGGATCTTGCTATGTAATGGGCTAGCCTTGAACTTGCTTATGTAGCCCGAGCTGGTCTTGTACTCACAGTGCTCCTCCTGCCTCAGTCTCCCGAGTGCTGTTATTACAGGCACGTGCTACCACGCCCAGTTCAGTGACCTTTGCTTAATCTGCCTTCTGATTTATTCACATCCAGGGGCTTCATGTCCCTGTGCAGCCACCCTATGCTTCCTTCAGGAAGATGCCCTCCCAAGTCACTGGTGGTTGTGTCTGTGAATGGTCAACCCCAGGCTGGGCCTATAGATGGCCCCTGAGCATGACAGTTACCTTACATTCCAATCAGAGCAACCTTCGTGACTCTTGCTGGGAATTGGAGGCCACAAGTCCTCTCTTTCAGTGACAAGGAGCAAAGAAGTGTGTGGTTACAGATCCCTGGGCATCCAGAGGACAGTGTGATTGAGACGAGCTGGACCAGAGGTGTAGACAGGAGCCAGAAGCAGAGCGACCCAGACCTGAGCACATCCTCCAGGCCCCAAAATGGTCTGCCCGAAGCCATGCTTTCCCGAGTGGCACAATAGTTTATGCTCATAGAAACAAATTTATGAATTGGTTTCATTTTGGTTTTGCTAAAAATAGATTCGAGTTGGGCTGCTGGTACATGTGATGAAATGAACACTAACAGATGCGCCTTCCCACCCCCTTCCCCACCATCATCCGGGTCCCACCAGCCCCTCTCCTCAATTTAAAGCAAATGTTAAAAAATGACATATGAAACAGGGTAAGATAGGGCATAGGATTATTGGGATTCGTGCCTTGTAGCGATTCCACGCCTGAAGAATATTGATTAGTGAGTGGATCAATGTCAATCTGAGGGAAGCCCTGTCCTGTTCCACATTTTAATCAGTGACTGGGATAAAACAGGAGTCCTGCCTGGAGAGTCTCGGGTGACACAAAGCTGGAGGACCTGCTAGGATGACAGATGGGGAAATCAAGATTCAAAATTATGTTGACTGACTTGAACAGTAATAAGGATAAATACGAACTCTCACATCTAGGCCCCGAAGATCAATGGGGGAGCAGCCAGCCGGGGAGACCCCACTTGGCTGTTGTCATAACAACACAGAACTTGGAGCTGACCTTGAGCTCACACCGAGCCAAAAGTGGAGACAATCAAGACACAGCTAGGCAGCTTTCAGATGTTTAAAAATTTATACAGAATAACTGAACTTGCCTCTGCTTCCCTGGCAGGATAAAGAAGGGACATTGTTCTGGGAAATAGTTTTCAGCTCACTGTATTAAAGTATTTTTCTAATCATTCTAGTAACGGAACCAGCGCCCTTCCAGAGTCATGCATGCAAAAGTAACATCAGAAGATGTGTTCCATGACAGGGGTCTGCCTTGTAAAGCACAGATTCTTTTCCTTTTCTTTTTTCTCTCTCACTCTTGCTGTGTTATTAAGCTGCTCGGTCTAGACTTGCAGTTGTGATGCTCCTGTCTCAGCCTCCAGAGTACTGGGATGGAAGGCATGAGCCACCACACCCATCTAAAGTACAGCTTTTTAAAAAAGACTGTCTTTAACAATTTATGGGTTGAAGCAATTGTGATGCAACGAGCAGCCAGAAAAAGCGAGTCGTGGGAAAAGAGCTCAGTTCAGCCCTGAGTGAGTCACCGAGAGCCCCTGGAGGAAACACCCAGCAGGGCGCCATGGCGTCCTACCTTCCTGCACCGTGACCTCCCCCCGGCTCTGCAGCCTTCATGCGTGCTGGAGCTCGGCCTGTCTTCATGCCACTGCGCCTTTCCCGGTCTTCCCCGCATCCATCCAGCCTCCCGCCGCCGTGTGGCAGCCACATCTCCGTCCCCAGCTCTGCCCACTCACCCCTGTCCTTCGGGACACTGGGAGTCCCAGCCCATTTCCCGGACCCTCCCCACAGAGACAGTTTGTCTTTTCCCTTTGTTTTTCTGAATACTTCATTTACTTGGTAGCCCAGAGACAGGGAGGAGGTAGGCGACAGCTCTGTTTCATCACAGACATTGGGTGTGGTTTCAGCAAGGTGTTAAGAGAAACGTCCCCCTGCAACACCGAATCCCCTGGACGCCCTCACTCACCTTCCTCTGCTGGAAAAGGTCCACCTCTCTCAGAAGCTTCTCCTGGCAGTGCGGGTTGGTGGCCAGCAGGTAGGTAGCGAAGGAGAGCGTGTTGCTGATGAACTCGTGGCCAGCGATGAGGAACAGGAAGGCCTGGCCCACGACCTCGTCCACGGTGAGCGGCTGGGACAGGGCCCGGGGCTGGCGGGGAGCGGAGGTGTCTGCCGTGCAAGCCTCAGAGGACAGGGCTTCTTGGACGAGGTCGAAGCTGTCCACACCCACAGAGCTGGGGGAGCACCGTGTGTCCAGGACCATCTGCAGGAAGTCTCTGGGCCGCTGAGGACAAGAAGGGACAGCACACGTTTGGGCCCTGGTGTCACAGAGCAGGGGCTGGGGGCCGAGGAAGAAGACAGGTGGACGGGTGTAGTTTGTAAGAGCGCCTACTGGACATGGCTGTCGCTGGGTTATCTGGGGCGGCGAGGACATGGAAGTCACCCATCTGGCCCTCTGTGTGGTGCCATTTCACAGCTCTGGGGCAGCAAGGTGCAGACTGCAGTGCTTGGGGAAAAGAGGAGTGGAAAGGGCTGTGAGCGAGGCTCAGTGGTGAGTGCTCACCGTGTGTGTGTGTGTGTGTGTGTGTGTGTGTGTGTGTGTGTGTGTGTGATGTCCTGGTTCTTTCCCGGGTCTCTCTTAAATTGCACAAAGTCGGGACACAAACTTTCGATTCTCCTGCTTCAGCCTCCCTCAGTGCTTCCCCACATTCTTTCTTCCCTTCCTTCCTTCCTTCCTTCCTTCCTTCCTTCCTTCCTTCCTTCCTTCCGTCCCTTCCTCCCTCCCTCCTTCCTTCTTTTTTCCAGTAGTGGAGATCAAATCGAGGGTCTTTGCGTCAAGCTCTATTCCCAATCCTCTTCATTTTTTATTTGAGAGAGTCTCGCTAAGTTGCTAAATTGCACTTGAAGTCGTAACCCTCCTGCCTCAGCCTTCCGGGAAGCTGGAATTACAGGTATGTGCCACGATGCCCCCGCTGATTCCCCTCTTTTTTATGGCTGAGTCATAGTCCAGTGTGTGTATGCACCACACATCCTTGGTCCCTTCGGGACGAGGCCATTCTTTCTGGGCCAATCTACAAGGCTGTGGTGTCACTTTGTTAAGTAAAATAAAAGAGCAACATGCACAGAGGGATTTCATTTCTGTGAAACCACTGAGTGTGCAACAGGCACGTTATGTGCATGTGTCCACTTGAGGAAAATATGACCAACATCTACCCCCACCATTCCCGGGGCCGGAGGAGGTGGGAAATCAACGGTGTTCAGTTTTGACCTTCTATACATTTGATCTGTTGGCTGTTTTTCTACCAATGAAAACCAGGAAAACCGTGTGTGGACTAAATCAGAGCGTGAGCTCTCCTGCTCTTCATGTGCAATTCAGGGCTTCTGTGGGCAGCCTGTGTGCTCTCCAGCAGCGGTGCTGGACGGAACCCGGGGTGGGAGGGCCCTGGCTTGGTGATGCTCATCTTCGAAGTCCCCAGACTTAGCATTCTCTTTCCACTGAGCCCCTTATTTTCTCAGTAATCCTCAGCCCCACTGAAGTGGCTAGAGCACGCTAACCATTTCTCCACCTTCCTTATCAGTCATTCGCATATTCCTTATGTTTTTATGACCATTAATTCTAGCTATAGGAGTGTTGGCTGATTGCGTTAGCATTCATAGTGTATTCCTGGTGCATGCCTGCTTTGAAACGCCCTTTAATGTGATGAACGGCAACCAAGATGTTGCTCTTTTCTGGTTTATGGGATTAAAACAGCAAAAGAGCCTCAGAACCTCCAATAGGGAAAAATTATAATTTCAAAGTACCAGTGGCAGCATTTTTTCAATTCTTTGAATTCTGTATTTCTATTGCATGAATAATTTATGCCACACACATTGGCATCCACCTCCATCTTTCTAAGGTTTTTTTTTCCCCTTGAGACAGGATCTTGCTATACCAGTCTGAATTGGCCTCAGACTTGCAGCAATTCTCCTGCTTCGGCCTCCTGAGTACTGGGATTACAGGCGTGTGTCACCACACCTGACAAATCTGTCGTTTTAGACTGTTGTCATGTCACATGTGCTGCTTTTCTGCATCTTGAGATAATAAGCATCCCTCAAGCAGGACCCCTGGCTCCTACCTCCTATCCGTGCCTAGCATTGCTTTGAGCACATATTAAATATGCAACCAATAACTATGCAAATCAAAGTGCAAAACAATCAAGCATTTTGTGGAAGACTGTGTTGGGTGTGATGACAATGCTATTTAGAGCAGCAGGGTGGCCCAGGAGGCCTCGGCCCCTCTACCATGTCCTGGCTCTGCGGCCTTGGAAGAGATCTGCTGAGCACCTGGCAGGGCTTATAGCTGAGGCCCTGGCTGTCACATACCTGGAGGCCATGGAATTAAGGCCTCACTTCCCACTGGCCTGCTTGGACTGTTACAGCCAAGAAAAAGGCCAAAAGTCAGCAAGAGTTGGAGACTTTGCCTTGCCCTGGTCCTGCTCATCAGGGCGCCCCATAGTCTTCCAAGGGCCTGCATCCCTAGCTCCTGCCTGGCCAACATCTGGGCAGCAGCTGTGGTCACACTGCTAACCCTACCGCCACGGGGCAAAGTGAGGGCCGCACAGGATGGCACAGGGGAAATGGGTATCTGCTGTTCCCTGGCTCCTGGATGCTGGCCCCAGATACCAGCATGTTCCTGGACCCCTGATGTGGCCCTTTTATCTTTCTTCCTTTCAAGGCTGGCCTTGAACTCCCTGTACAGGGCGGGCTGATGATCCTCCTGCCTGAGTCCCTCAGATGCTGAGATGACAGTGCATCGGTCCCTTTGTAGCCCCTGGAGGGTATAATACATGGTACAGCTCTGTTTTCTGAGGCTTGGTTGTAGCTTTGCTGGGCTGGGCTGGGCGCCACGACAGGAGGGAAGGTACAGCCTTGTACTTCCCCGGGGCAGGCCTGCATACCCCTTGCATCTTTTCCCCTACCCTGGCTCAGCCCGGCTGCTTTGCAAAGGGCCGGAGGCGTCTTAGAGAATCTGTCTTAACCTCCTGTTAACGAGGCCAGAAGAGGGGGCTGCTCCCCAAGGGTGTGCTGGACAGGGACATTAGTGTAGATGGGTTGCTTTTATTCCCACTGCATCATGGAGGCAATCTCAGCACTGCCCATGGAGGAGGGAAACAGTGCTGGTTTATGGTTATATCCAAGAAAAATACGCACCCTGATAGATGTAGGTGTCTAATCCGCCCAACGGCTACGGCTTAGAAAAATATTTACCTTTTAACATCTGTGCAGTATTTTCCCTGCGCAAACACACATCTGCTTGATGGAATGAATGTGGAGTTCAGATGGCTTGGAAGCAAGTTTTCTTAGTAACCCTATAGCTCTGTCTTCACATGGGCAGCCCTGGATTTGTGGTTGGGAGGTTTTTCTCAGATCAACTCATTATTTGAAACAAATAACTGTAGAGTTTATAAAAGGAAAAGCTCTAGGCAATCCTGGTAATTGGATCTTTAATAACCTCTCACCTCTGAGTAAGTCACTCAGTGCAACAGTTTTTACATTTTCAGCTTGATTCCACAGCTAGCAAGTCCCAGGGTAGGGGTGTGGTGGGTATGCATGTGTGAGAGCGGGAGAGAGAGAGACAGAGACAGGGACAGACAGAGACGGGGAGAGAAAGCTTAAATAGGGCGTCCTTTTATAGCGAGATTGAGGTTTCAAAATGGTGGCACACACCTATCATCCCAGCCCTCAGGAGGCTGAGGCGGGAAGATCACCATAGGGAAGCCAGCCTGGGCCACACAGTGAGTTCAAGGCCAGCCTGAACTATATGAGACCCTGCCTTAAAAAAAAAAGGAAAAAGGAAAAAGAAAAGAAAGCAAATCATGCCCCTTCTGAATCACACAGTGCCCAGCATATGGGCTGCCCAGTACATCAAGCCTGCAATGGACCCTGATTCCATTGTAGGCCAAGGCCTTACCCCTGGCTCCCCATGCTTTCCTCCGTGCTACAGTCTGTGAGACTAACCCTTCCTAGCCTTCTCTTTCCTTTCAGTAACTTTCTTTCCTGCAAGCAGACCCTTAAAGAGCAGCCTCGAGCCTGCTGGAATGATCTCTGTCCTCCTGAAAAGTCCTATTCTTAGCAGTCAGTAGATGCTTGTTCGGTCCCTACTATGTGCCAGGCAGAGTCGAGAGCAAGGAGGAAAGGACTATCTAGGTCTCAGGATATCTCGGGATATCTAGGTCTCAGGAGCTGCAGGGAGCAGCGCCCAGCTGGTTCCTTCCCAGTGCAAGGAGTGACTCTGTGATAGGCATTTCCTGAACTCCTCTCCAACAGTGATGCTCTTTGTGCCCTGAAACTACGTCCTGATATTTTTGTTTTGTTTTTGACAGGCACTTGTTTCAAAAGAAAAGGGTATCGAATTAAAACTACAAGGGTGCTTTACCTAGAAAGTTCTTCCAGGCCTCTCTGCCCTGTGCTCGGAGCAGTGCTGAGCTGCTAGCAGACGTCCCTCTGTCCGACCCTGTCCTTTACGTTCCTCCACCCTTCTCTCTGCCTCCTGCTGGCCCAGGGACTCAGGGAGGCAGAGTGCCTAAGGACAGCGTGTCATGATGCGCAGGGTTGGGAGGGAAGGAGAGGGCACCCATGCAAATTAGGTTCCATCCCATTTCCAGGCTGCGCCCTATTAAAACGCGTTACCTCTTCTGCAGCTTGCTGGTCCCGCAAGGCAATCTTGTTCCTAATGAGTTCCGTAAAAAAGTGATTCAGTTCATCTCGGTTCTTATTGGGTAGAATCCGGGCCAGTGGGACCATTATGGATGGAAACGATACTTGAAAGAGAAAAAGCAAAAGTGCATTGCAAAGAGGGCGACAATAAACCACAGCTATTAGACTCCTGTCATGAGGAAATGTCAGCCTGGAGTAGTCACCGAGAGGGCCTGGCCTGACCCCTGGGGATCGTTCTTAGAGTTGGGCTCACAGCCTGTGAAATCCCTGTATGTAGTAAGTACTTAGCAAGGATCCCCACTCCCACACGGCCCTCAGCAGGCCCATCTCAGGCTTTCGATCCATGCCACAGGTCCAGTCACCAGGCTGCAGGTCACCGTGTCCAGGAGGACACGCTGCAGGACGGGCCTCATGCCTTACTGAGGGCCAGGAGCTCACTTTCTGTCTTAACTTTGCAGCCATTTGCATTTTCTTTCTGTCCCCAGAGCAGGTGCCCGTGCCATCCATAAAAGCTGCCACAGTCTCTCCATGTGCCTCATGCAGCCTGGGCCCTGGGCCCTCCGGGATCTGTGGGTCAGGCACATTTAATTCCCCTGAGAGAGGTGCTGCCCCCTCATCCCCCAACAGCTGCCTGGGCTGCAGCGTGAGGGAGAAGGGAGCAGCTGCTTGATCCCCACAGTGCCCTGTCTTCCAATTTCAGTATGGAGCTGACAGAGGCGACCGGGGCTCCCCCTGGAATCGGATCAGAAATGGGGACAAAATTGGCTGGGAATGAGCAGGCCCGACCAGCTCAGCAGAAAGACTGGAAGTCACGGCTCTCATCAGTGACAGTAAATGTGCACTCCAGTGCTTCCATAAAAGCAAGAAGATGCTGGAAGTGGCCAGAGGCACAAACTCCCTTGTAAAATCAAGATAAAATCAGTGGGCCAGTCTCCACGCATCGGGCCACCTGGCCTGTGACCTCCAGTTTAGTTAGTACACAGTGGCTTCCAGTGGAGACAACTGTCTTTTTTAGGGAGGGAGGATGAAAGGCCTTTCCAAACCTGTTTTCTCATCTGGAAAATGGAGACAAGTACCTTTTGTTGTTGGTTTGAGTCAAATTCTCACTGTGCAGCTCAAACTGGCCTTGAACTCACAGAGATTCTCCTGACTCAGCCTCCTGAGAGCTGAGATTACAGGCATGCATCACCGTACCTGACTAAGAATGTTTCTCTTGTGGGCCCAAACCAGGACTTTGCTTATGAGCTAAAGTGATGTGTGCACAGCATTTAGCATGGTTTGTCATTTGCTGTTCTCATGGTGGCACTGGTGAAGCAGAAGCCCCTTGCATTGGCTGTAAGAGGCCCCAGGCACAGAGAGAGCAGCCTAGTGGCACCTCTTGAGCCACCTGTGTCCCTTCTTCAGTGTGAGTGGTGCCCTGAGAGCCGAGTTCAGGCTGTGGCTGTGCAGCATGGCGTTGTACTTACAGATCAGGACCAGGAGGGGCCTGGCCATGCTGAAGGCAAAGAAGCGCCTGCAGTGCAGCACAAAGGGGTCCTCGGGATCCTTCTGCGAGTCCACTCGGGTGCCGAAGGCGACACTGGCTACCACGTCGGTGGCAAAGGCTCGGTAGTACCTATGCAGATGGGAACGCTTGAGTTTCAAAGGACCTTAGCCTTGGGTACCCACAATGCACCCCTCTCTGACGGAGCCAAGTGCCGCCATCCTGGCCCCCAGGAGCTCTGAGCAGGATGCTGGGAGAGAAGCTGCAGGCTGAGCAGCCATGGAAGAATATGGGAAGAGGCAGGCACTGGGGAGGCTGAGGCAGGAGGATTGCCGTGAGTTCAAGGCCAGCCTGGCTTCACAGTGAGTTCAAGAACAGCCTGAACTACATTGAGACACTGTCTCAGAGAGCAAGATAAAAGAATATGGGAAGGAGTGGGAAGCTGCAGAGCAGAGATTAATTCAGGGTGTCGCTTAGCCCTTAAGCTAATGAGCAGACTGAACACAAGAAGTGTGCTGTCACCGTTCTGCCTGGGAGGGAGGGGAAAGAAGAGACCCAAAGACTGGCTCTACCCCACGGCTGTGTGTGCAAAGCCTACATCAGGCCAGAACCTATTGATTTATTGGTATCCATCAAAGCGATGTTGATGAATGAACCACCTGACTATCTACTTTTATTAACTGAGCTCCTCATGATTTTACGGTTTTTTAAGACAGCAACAAACAAGAGCTCTTCACACTCATGCTGCGAAGTTTTGCGACAGGCCTCGTGGTCAGATGTAGATGGTCACTGAAACACACACTGCACTTTAGAAACAAACAACAGGATTTAACATCTTGGGCTATAAGAAACCTGTCCCATAAGAAGCTGTTTTAAACTACAGTGATTCCTTTTTGTTTTCTTATGGGCATAATCAGATAAAGCTCTTTTAAAGAAGGCTGACACTGGGGGTGTTAGCACCCTTTTATAGTTACAATGTCTATTTTTGTCCTTAATGCAGGCACATTTTAGCTCCTTTTTATCCCAGTTCTGCAGCCACCCACTTATCACTAAGGGACAAATGATATTTGCAGATGACTTCTATTGAAAGCACTTCTTACAACTGACCATACATTGCCTCACTGATAAGAACAAAATTGAGGTTGCTGAATGAGTTCGTCTGACCCTAATGGTTGAAGATTTGAGAGTTTACAGTGTTTACTTTGCTTTTATAGCTGACAAGGTCACCTTATCTTTAGCCAATGCGTGTTTCCTACAATCACAGAGGACACCGATGAGAAGCCCTGGTCAGCATGTGGTGCCGTATAAAATGTTGGCAATGGGGGCTGGGGATTTAGCTCAGTGGCATAAGCACCTGCCTTGTAAGCAGGCAGTCGTGAGTTCAATCCCTGGTACCAATAAAAAGGAAAAAAAGACAACAAAAAAAAATGTTGGCAACGATTATGCAATTATTTTATTAGCCACAGTGCTTGAAAGTCAGCTTCCAACTGATCTAATTCCCCATCCCATTCAGCCCTAAGCTGCTATTAGCCATATTTTGGCACTAAACAGCTGAAAGTTTCTAGGAGAAAAGTCAGATAATCAGTTGTTTCTATGTGGGGTCCACTCCAGCCAATCGTCTACACAGATGTGCCCATGACTTTCTTAGGTGTGAAAATGCAGGACGTCCCCCGCGTCCCCGTCCTTATGCACTGCGAGGCTGTGCAGATGGGAGGCTGAGTGTACCCACAGACTGACCTCTGCCTTTTTGGGCTTCTCTCAGCAGGGTATAGGGCCCTATGCTCTGGCCACTTGCGTTTCCTGTTTTAAATGAATCCCTTTCTTCTCATTAGTCAATCCATCCATGCTCTTTTGAGAGTCTAGCAGCTTGCCCAGCCCAAGGAGTTTGTCCAGCAATTGTGTGCAGTTACAAGAAGCAGCTGTTCCAAGCTGCGACAGGCCCTTACCTCTGCATGTCACATGCATTCCCTGATTCTGCACAGCGTCTTAAATGAGCCAGAAGAAGGTCACAGGCTTGGCTGATGAGGGGGATCATCTGATAATGGATAACAAAAGAATAATTAGAGAAGCATGCAGGGAGGGTGTCTAATTTGCCTATATTCAATGCTTTCTTTAAAAAAAGGACTTTTTGAGAGCATCTTTTGCACAGCTAAGCCGAAGAAGAGAGTTCTGAAACTGACTGTGAAATACAATAACTGTAAACATCTATTTTACCTTCAGCAAGCTTTCATTTTAGTGGAGGGCAGAAAAATGACTTCAAGATTTCAAGTAAATATGGTGAAAGTGTTCACAGTGCTAAGACAAAACTGCGAATTCGTACTCAGTGTCACGACAAGGTCTTAGCACGAGGAGAAACAGATCAGCTCCAAATGCCCTGCTTCTGGAGTCAACCCAAGTCCACGCTGTGCCAATTACACGTTAGATCTTCCATGAGCACACAGAATCTTCGTATCCAAAGAAACCGAAGGTCATAGATTTCAGCTTCTTCATTAACTCGGGAATTATTTTTAGAGCATGTCGGACATTTGGTTGTTCATGTGAGCTTAAGCTGCTTGAACCTTTGAATACCGGATAACTCTTGACCTCGAGAGACTGCCTATCCCACGCCTGAAAATTGTCAGTTTCTTTTTTAATATTAAGGTATTTTTATTATGGAAAATTCCAAGCGTGGAGAGAGCAGGACAATGAATATTCATGCACCCACCACCCAGGCCAACATCTTTAGACCTCATCGCTGGTTACCTGTCACCTCGCTTCATTGAGTGCTCCCCCATGTGACTTTATTCTCTTGGGAGTGTGGCCAGGCTGAAAATGTGGAGGGAATCCTGGTAAGGGATGCACATGCTAGAGCAGCACCCCAGTTTGGGCACTGAGCTGTTACACAATTGTTCTGAGCCTCTCTTGAGGAAAACATGGTTCAAATTGTCACTGTATATTTAGATTTCACTATTTTGACACTGGTGTATTATACTCCTGAGCACAGGGAAGGTTTTCGTGCATTCATTTTTGCACATAGTCATTACTTGTTAAATGAATGACTGAATTTTACTGATGATATAGTACCTGTTTTTTGCTCCAAAAACCTTGAGGCGTTAGGAAAAATGCTGTAAAGTCAGTTTCTCATCAGGATGTGTGTTATTATATTGAAGCAAAATCTGGCTCCCTTGGCTATTACTTGGATCGTCTGTGTCTCCCAAAGTACATGCGGTAAAGACTGGCTCCCCAGGGGCACGAGTGAGAACTGCAAAAGCCTTTGATGGGTGTGGCCTAATTGCGGTCTTTAGGTCATTGGGATGGAGCTCTACAGGGATGCGGGATTCTTTCTCTTCCTCATTCTCTTTCAATTTTGCCATGAAGGAAGCTAATTCAATTTGCTGTGTGCCACTCCCTTTATGGGCTGCCACAGGCCCCAAACAATGAGTAGAACTAATCACTGAAGGCAACTTCTAAAGCTGTGAGCCCAAGTAGCCTTTTTCTCATTATAAACTAATTACTTCAGGTGCTGTGAGTTACAGTGACAGAAAGCTAACACACCCTCCAAAAACTTCTGATTTGTTTCATTTCTGTCCGCTTCCTGTGACACTCCCCCAACCCCCCGGACAGGAATATCCATCTTTCCAAGACAATTGTCCTCCATCCCTTTGGTGACTTCTCCGACACATAGTTTACACACAGGTCTATTTTTTAATCAGTCACTCCTAAAAGTCAGTCACATAAATGGAACACAGCACAATTTCAGTGCACACAGTAATTATTACTCTGTACAGTACTTGGTAAATGAATCACTTCCTGTGAGCTATACCCCAAAATCATTGCAAGGCCAGGTTTAAGTTGACCTTTTTGGAAGACATGTAACACAGGCGAACATGGCTCAGGAAACACTGTTTCAAAGGAAACAGTGAGGTCTTTGTCCATGAGTCATAACTGGACAGGAATGATTTTTATCCTTTAGGTCCGTTTACTAGAAAGGCTTCACATTAACACTGCATTGACTTCTGTAAAAATGTTGGCCAGCCATGTGTGCCCCCAAGCAGAACCATCTGTGACCTGCCCTAGAACCTTCTGGTGACTGGAAAGGCTGGGCAGAAGGGGTGTGGGGACACATGGCTTCCACAGCTCCCTGCAAGCCAACCCTGAGGGCTCTGTGACATTAGGAAAGACTTGTGTCCCGTGGGCTCCATTATTGGCTCTGCCAGGGGACATATGCGGATAATAGGGCATTGGCTAGCTCCTCCTCATCCATCTTAAACGTAAGTGTGCCTTCCAAGTCCCCTTTCAGATCATGACTGTGGGGACAGGCTTGAGAGCAGATAGCTGTGTCAGGTACCTGCAGAAATTTTCTTTATCCCTCTAACATCTCTGCACGAACCTAAATAAACAGAGATACCAGCTTACCAGTGTTTGGCTGGTGAGGCCCTTGTCAGGTGTTTGGCTGAAACAGAAATACGGGGTACCTCAACTCCCTGTCCTGAATCCATTCGGAAACAAATGAGCCAGGTGTGGTGAGGCACAGCTGTAATCCCAGCCCTCGGGATGCTGAGTCAGGAGGGTCACAAGGTTGAATGCAGACTTAATGCCTTAGTTAGACTTTGTCTCAAAATGAAAAATAAAAAAAGTAGGGCTGGGGATATAGCTCGGGGCAGACTTTGGGTTCAATCCTCACTATCAGAAAGAAAAGAGAAAGAAAAAAGAAAAGGCTTAAAAAAGGAAGGAAGGAACATTAGAGTGCTGATTTATCCTTAGTAACTGTGTTGACTCTTTCTGACTACTGTATTCTAAATTCTCACAAACCCTCAATTTAGGAATAATGTACCAATAAAGATGTGCATGTAAACAGGGCCCTTTAAATGGCCTCTGAAACACCATTTGCAAAAAGTCTGAGACTTCCTTAAAGGTCAAAGAACTCAGTCAAACTGTTTTTTTTTTTTTTTTTTTCCATACTGGGGATCGAACTCATGACCTTGCGCTTGCCAGGAAGATGCTTACACCACACTCAGTCCTGTTGAAGTCACATTTCTATGGGCAGTGTCATTAGCAATATTCCTTCAATTATTTAAATAAGCTTAATGGTGAAAGTGAACCCTATTTTAATAAAACTGCAGATACTAAAATATCTTTCATAAGAATAGTAAGATATGAAAAGAGCAAAACAACAAAATACTGAAAGGAAGCTGGGCATGGTGATGTGCACAGGTGATCTCAGCACTCCGGAGACTGAGGCAGGAGGATCTCTGTGAGTTTAAGGCCAGCCTGGGTTGCATAGTGAATGTAAAGCTAGCCTGAGCTACAGCTTTTAAAAAAGGAAAACACTGCAAGGAAGTCTCATAGATGTCAAACTTGAAGTTTCCTAAAGTAAGAAGAGAGATGCAGTATGAAATTTGATTTTCACAGGGCTCCTCAGAAACATGTCTGTGTATTAAGAGAGATCCCACCAAGCCTAAAGCCAAGCGAAGGCCTGGACAATGAGGGAGCTGGACAGCTGCCGACCACCAGTTCCTCCATGTGTTTCTGACCAGAAAGCTTTGGTACTGCCTGATGTGATAGCAATTTCCTCCTGTCCTCTGCCTGTTGTCTGTCGAACTGAATGGATAATGACATTTCTATCTGGGTTAATGTGAAATGAGATGGGGCATGTAATACGAAAAATATTTTAAGAAGCAGTGTGGAGAACATCTTATAAGACCGTGGCGCATGAGCTGTGTGTTGGCCAGGAGCCATTTCAGATTTTCTTCCTTGCCTTATGCACAGCAGTTCTGGAATATTTACTCTCACATGAGTTGCATACAAACAAAAGCTCTCTATGATGGGCTTGCATAGTCCTTACACAATCCCAGCCATTCTTCTCTAGGTTTTTGTACAAATGCTCACATACAGTACAGTGCTGCTCGCAGACTTTAATTGTAAGACTAAGTTGGTTGTTACCTTTCATCTTCTTTGTAGGATGATAAGTGACTCTTCCTATCTTTTTTTCTTTCTTTCTTTTCTTTCTTTCTTTCTTTCTTTCTTTCTTTCTTTCTTTCTTTCTTTATTCTTTTCTAATGGTACTAGGAGTTAAACCAAGGGCCTTCAAATTAGGCTATACCCCCATCCCTCTTCTACTACTTATTTTAAGACGGGGTCTTGCTAAGTTGCCCAGGTTGAGTTTGAACTTGTGTCCTCCTGCCTCGACCTCCCAGGGTACTGGGGTTAGAGGTATGCACGATCACACCAGTCAGGATGAGTGATTTTTTATTTTATTCCAAATTTTTCATAATATACATTTATTGTGCTTATTAGCATATAGTACAGTAACATTAATAGAAATTTTAAAGTGATTTCTTGAGGGTTGATATAGACTCACATTTGTGCCCCTCCCTAAATTCATACATCTTTGTTATAACTCCCAGTGTAGCTGTATTTGGAGTTAGGTCCTCTTAGGAAGTCACTGAAATTAAATGAGGTCTTAAGTATAGGGCCTGCTCTGAAAGGATGTGTCCCTATAAGAGGCAGCAGAGGGTTTTCTAGTCTATATTTCTTTTTTCCTTTGTTCTCTCTCTCTCTCTTTTGTTCTCTCCCTTCCCTTCTCACCCACAAAGAATAGGTCACAGGAGCACACAGCAAAATGGCGGCCACCTATAAAACACAAAACAGCAGCCTCACCAGGAACTAACCATGCTGGTACCATGTAAACTTGAGGCTCCAAAACTGTAAGAACATGTGCTGGTTGAACCTCTAATTGGTGGTATTGTGTCTAAGCTGACTGAGATTGGGGCTACAATCCAGCAGCCAAGCCCCGGCAGACTTCTTCATTTTGTTCCTCTCCCCTCTCTCCTTGGGTGTCTCCATTAGAAGCAGTGCCACACAGATGGATGGCAGCTATTTGGCAACAAGCAGTAACTACAGAGGGCAGAGCATCACACTTACCCTTGGAAGGAAATTCTCATTTAACTTGGACTTTGTCATATAACTTAAGTGCCTAGTTTAAAATAATGTCTCAAGGCAGAGAGCAAGTGACCAAATTCTAAAAGGTGGGTGAGCATTATGAACAGGCCAAAG